CAATTTAGATGGACAATGAAAAGCTTACACAAATTATCATAATACCAGATGGAATCTGGCAGGTTTCAGAGGGCTTTCAAACACCACTGAGGTTCAGTTTGAACACCACTGAGTTGGGGGCTGGGGAGCCATGTGCCTGCATTCAGAGCAGGTTATGCTTTCTAGCCAGGTGCTAGCACAGCTGCAGAGAAGCACGGAAACCCCAGGGCTGGGAGCGATCAGAAGGACCTGGGGCCACCAACTGTGCAATGCCTGAGTTCCACTGCAGGACCCAAAATAGTTATCCTGGCTTTGCTCAAAGACCTCCAGAGCTTCGCCACCAAGGCAGCTCATCTCTTCCATCTTTGGAGGACGTGGACCATCAAATCCTTCTCCTTTCAGCTTGGCTGCCACCCCTGGATCTGCAGCTCTGCCAGTGGGGTCACCTGGACAGGCTGACCCTTCCCCAGCAGCTGCCACGGGTCCTGTACCTGGTCATCTCGATATAAATATTCCCGTCCCTTCAAAGGTTCCTTAGGGACATGGTCTTGAGTCTCTTCTCTGCTCATTCTCACAAGTCACTAGGATTCCTTTGGGGAATCTTAAAGAGCCATAGTGACCAGAGCACTTGCCTGAACATTGCAGGGATGAGCAGACCATCCCTGGTCTGTTCACGTAGCTAAAAAGAAACAGCTGTAGCAGCCTCGGCACACGTCGATGCAGACGGCGCCGGCCAAGCACGAGAGCCACTAAGTCGGTTTCCCCTACGGTGTTGCTCAACTGCATCTTCTCCACCCCATACTTGTGACATAGCGTGCTCTCGCACAGACAGCTCACATTTCTCTTCAATTAACCCAGACTGGAGAGCAATTATTTTTACTACTGGTCAGATGGTCAGCTGCATGATGAATGAAATAGACAGGACACAGAGGATGCTCAGAGCATGTGGAGAATTGTGGCAAAGGGACACAGGGACGAGTTCACAGATACCAGTAATCGTGTCATGTGCCATCATTTCAGGCCTTTCCCAGGAGATAAAAAAAACAGAGACAGGATGTCTGAAAAACTTGATCCAAGCAAGCTGTGGAGGGCCTTGGAATGGAAATGGATTTGGGGATGTCTGCAAGGCCAGCCATTTGGGAAGAGAGGGGAAGGCTGAGCAGAGGACACAGGACACATCCTGCTCCAGCAGAGCAGAGGTGCTAATGCTGATGAAACGCACTGGGTCGGCGACCATCGGAGGACAGACATAGCGAGAAAGGAAGGCTCTGTGATCGCAAGACCTCTGAGACACCGGCTTCTGCACAGGCCAAGCTGTGCATTTATTAACTATGCTCTTTTTCATTTCGTGTTTATACCTGCCTGTGCTACAAAAAATTGGAGGCACTTCAAAGCATATACAGATTAAGGACATGCGAATAACAATCAGGGACTAGCAAAGGAGCTTTGTGTGTATCTGCTTACTCGAATTTAATGAACACTCCATCACACTGGTGTTTCCGTTTCACAGCTGAGAAACCTGGGACTCGGAACAATTAAGTAACCTGCCCAAGATGTGAATCTGGGTCAGAAGTTTAAGCTCTCTCCTCTCTGCATCATGCTGCCTGTAACTCCTGGCCTCTCTGCGGACGCTCCCTACCCAGGCAGAGAGCAGAGGCCTCAGGAGCCTGGACTCTGAAGCCACACTGCTGGGTCTAAGCCCTGACTCCACCACTTACTATCTGAGACCCCAGACAGTTTTTAATCTCCCTGCCCCGCCCTTTCCTCAGCTATGAGATGGGGGTTACAAGAGTGCCTATATCCTCAAGACTGTTACAAGGGTTGAATGAGTTTATATTGCTAAGCATTTTCAGAAAAGCTACATAGTATATACTAAGCTACATTAACTAAATGATTTAACTAAACTAGATGTGGACTTGGGTAAGCAGCTTCACTCTCAGGTGGTCATCTGCAAGATGCGGAGAACACTGGGCTGCCTCCCAGTCTTGATGATAATTAAATGAGATAACTGACGTGAAGCACCTATATGTATTGGTCATCATTACTTCCATGCTACTTATTTAAAATCATTTTGTCTTCTGTCCAGGGCTGAACGTTATCAGATAATCAGTGAAATGAGCATTTAATATGTCAACTGATTTAAAAGTAAATACACATTGAAGCAAAAATCTTGAACTACAACGTGAAATCACTAAAACGAAACATAAAACACAGAAATGACAAATGATACTAAAAGAATTTCTTCCTGATTTGTTTTAAGAACATGTACACCGACAGCATCACAGTATAGTAACCCCATGAAAGGTGTCCGACAGGGTCAAATGGAACCCACAACTTCAGTAAATGGGGGAGAACAGTGAGGCATGTGTTTCGAAGCATTAAGTGTTAAGTGTTTTCCTTTCTGTTTACAATGTTCATGAACATTTATTTACAACACTTTAGATACCATGTTAACTTTTAGGTATACACTTGGGAATATTCTAATTTAACCCACACTGATGGAATATCTAACCTTTATGCGGTCGGGGTCCACATAATGCATTTTTTTCATGTCACATTCTTCAGTAGTATAATTTAACTTGAGGATATAAAGGATCCACACTCCAAACACAAGCAAAGTACACCTGAAAAAAAAAAAAAGATTTGCTATAATGATGCATCCAAGTGATAATCAAGAAAGATCACGTGAAATAAGTGAAAACCGAACCTACTCAGCATAGAAGTACCGTCTAAGTTGACCTTTTATGGCACCATTTCTTATTTTCATGACAAGATAAATTAGTCATTTATGACTGTCTTTGTTACCAAGTGAAACTGACAAGTCCCGCCTTTGAACAGTTCTCGCACTTAGTAAGCTGTAAAGGGGACCAGGCTGAAACACCTGTCACCCTTTTTAGTATTCAGTGTTATTCAAACGCCTGCAGGGGACTTTAATTGACCATATTTGTAGGTTCACTAAAAACAGAGAAAGGGAAAGCCCTCTTTTATTAGACCGCGGCTGGAAGGGCTGTGCACGAGGTGCAGAGTCTGGGCGGCTCCCTGGCTGGAGCCACGCCGGAATCTGGGACGGGGATGCTCTGAGCCTCTCCTCGGATGTGCCTCTAAAGAGATCCTTGACCGAGAGGGACGAAGGGTGAGTGCCATCCTCAGGGCTCTCGCTGAACTTTTCTCCCAGTTCCTCCCAGACCCAAACCAGGGGTGTCTTGTGGCCTGAGAGCTGGTGCTTACTTGAGGATGTCCTTCAGCAACAAGCTAGGTCTTCTCATCTTGTTCTGACCTCGGGTGTACCATTGCAGGGAGGGCCTCGAGCAGTCGCTTCTCAGCTTCACACAGTTGTACTCACTGGGCATTGCTGGGACAAGAGGAGAGGGCAGGAGGAGGGAAAGAAGGAAGTGAGTTTGGCAGATTACGTTTTTTAGAGAGCCTCAGTGTGGTACAGCGGTACCGTGGAATACTACTCAGCGATAAAAAGGAACGGCCAACTGATACACGCAGCCCCTCGATGAATCCCGAGGCAGTGAAGCTGAGCCAATACTAACAGGTTACACACTATATGATTCCACTTATACAACGTTCTTGAAATGACAAAGGTACACAAGTGGAGAACAGATCATCGTCATCAGGGGTTGGGGAGGGAGCAGTGGGTGTGGCTGTGGAAGGGCAACATGAGGGGTCCCTGTGGTGATGGAAAGAAACTGTATCTTGACTGTATCCTGTCAATATCCCGGTTGTGAGATTCTACGGTGGTTCTGCAAGATGCTGCCATTGGGGGAAGTGAGTAATCTGTGTTCCTACACTCTACAATTATCCCCGAATTAAAAGTCAGATGTTTTTTAAGAGTCTTTATCTTTTAGAGATACATACGGAACTACTTACAGATGAAACAGGAGAAATGAAAACTGCTTCAAAAAAAAAAGTGTGTGAGAGAAACAGCTGAGACAAGGTGAGCTTTAAACTACTGTCGAATCTGGGCAATCAGTACACGGGGCTCATTTTTACAATTCTCAATACTATTTGAAATTTTCTACAATAAAAAAGGTTAAAGCTGTTACATTAAAAACAGAAGAGGTGGGGATGGGGGTAGAGCTCAGTGGTAAAGTATGTGCTTAGCATGTGTGAGGTCCTGGGTTCAGTTCCCCAGTAAATACATTAAAAAATAAATAAATTAAAATTACAAAAAAATTTTTTTAAACAGAAAAAGAGAATTACACTAAGAAAAAAGAAAAAGAAAATATGGCAATTTTAAAAGAAATTTTAAAAATATATATGTTCTTGGGTATGCTTGCTCATTTATTCTTTTAAATTAGTTTAATTCTCAAATTTCCAATTTCTAAATAATATTCCAAGGGGTATCGTAGTAGAAATCGATACATCTCGTCCCACATCAATTTCCCCCTTTCTCTCAATTGAAAAGAACTCCGAATTTTTATCTGGGCACATGGCTTTGGAGCTAGGCACAGCTTTGTGACTAAGTTCTAGCCCATGGGCTACGAGCAAAAGTGTACAACTTTCAGGGTGCATTCCTCGGCATACTCCCCTTTATCCTTTATCCCCTCTTTCCTATTGGCTGAAATACTGACACATGATGAGCCACTCTGGACCACACAGCACATCACCCAAGGGATGGAGGAGCAATGGGACAAAGGGCTTGGGTCCCTGGACCACCTCAAGGACAGAGCCTCCATGCCATCCCTGACGGTCTGCCTCTGAACTCTTGCAAGACGGAGAAATAAACTTCCACCTCGTTTAAGCAACTGTTAATTAAATCTCAACTAATGTAGGCACCTATTGCATTATGATACAGTTATATATTGATTTAGGAAACAATGTCTTTATTATACTTCAACTTGCAGCCAGGAGGAAGTTATATGTCGCTATTCACTTCATTTCCCCCATTAGGGTCATGCCATTTTCTTTGAAAAATATCTTTCATCAAACTGACATTCAAGTGTTTGATTTTTTTTTTTTTTGCTCTCTCTCTCAATTCCAAGTCTAACCACGGACAGAGCACCAGAGTGTGAGAACTTTTATAGATGTGCATCATTCCATTTTCATCGTCTCAAAAAATAGTGCCCAGGGCCTCGCTAGTAAACCTTTGCTGAAGAATCTACTGAATTCTCAAATGGGAAGTGAGAACCGAGACCCTGGAAGGTTTTCAAACACCACAACTTTGTGGTTACTAGGATGCACAGTCAGCCAAGTGGCAGGTCCCAGCGGGCTGCCTGGAACCAGGGCAGCTATGAAACGGAAGCTTCTACGAGGCCTGTGCTTTTATGAGCAGAATGACACTCACTTCACACCTGAGCGGACCTCCTGAGAGCACAGCAGGCGGGGAACATTAGAGCCGGGCTCTCACCCCTGCCGCCAGCCGGCCTGATGGATGGTCCTGGGGGCCCTCGGCTCTACTCCACCCTCTTTCTCGTCTGCTCTGCCACTCAGGCTGCAAGTCTGCAAACTGCATTTCCCGGACCCTCTCTTGTGCCAGCTGGCATCCTGCTGAGCTGTGACTGGGGACCTCCGGGGGGAAGACTGGAAGGCAGGGGGAGGCGGGGACCAAAGGCTGGCCCTCTGGCCTCTGGGTGGGATCACCCTGGGAGAGCGGCTCATGACGCAGGGCTCCCTGGGGAGCCCCTGAGACCAGGGCTCTGCTCCTTCTCTGCCCCCTCCTCTCTCACTCCCTACCTCCCGGCAGCTGAGCCCTTGAACTCCTGTTTTCGGCTCTGCTTCTAGGAAACCTGAACTAAGACAGGCCATCAGGTCAGCGGGGTCAACGTACGGGTGATGGCAGAAGATCATGGACGATCAGAAGTCCCCGAGGATTTGATCTGGGGGGTCATGAGGCTTGGAGGAGAGTCCCTGGGGAAGCAGCAGGGCTGTGGAAGTGGTGGCGAGCCTGAGACGGGGCTGGGGGTACTTTGTCTCGGCACCCAGCAGCAGATCCTGTGCCCCGGCTGCCGGCATGCTGGCCAGGTGGGCAGGGAGGGCTTTGGCTGCAAGAACCCACAGGGTTTGAGACAGGTCGAGGGTGGCAAGCAGGCAGGCAGGAAGGAAGAGAAGTCAAGTGTCAGGGAGGATGCTGGAGCCCTTTGCAGCCACAAGAAGGATGTGTGGCCTTGCTGAGTTCCAAATGCCTGTGGGCCATCGGGCTGATAAATCCCAGGCTTGGAGCCCTGGGGAGGGATCTGAGCTGTAGTATCAGCCAGGGGTGTGCTTGGCCACACGTAACAGAAACCTGGGGACCAACCAAGGCTTTCAGCGAAGTGGGGGTGTTTTTATTCTCACAGTACAGGAAGTCTAGGGACAAGCCGATCAGGGATGGCGCAGCGGCTCTGCAGAGCCATTGGTGTCTCTGGCTCCCACCAGCTTCTGCTCCCCAGCTTAGCACACGGCCAGCCACTGCTCCAAACTCCAAGTAAGAAGAAGAAGGATGAGATGGAAAGGAAGGTGAGGCTTCCACATCAGGAGAGGAAAAGCTTTCCTGGCAATCCCTGACAGACTTCCAATTCTCTCTCTCTGGCCAGGACCACATCCCATGAGTACCTACGGCTGCAAAGTGAGCCAGGAACTTTGCACACGCAGGGCAGCCTGCTTCCCCACACAGAATTAGGGTCTGCTGGTAAGGAAGGAGGAGAAAGGGAAACTTTAAGAAGCAACAGTGAGGGCCAGCTGCAGCCGAGCTAAGGGCCTGGGGCTATGTGGATAAAGGGACAGTTTATGTCTGCTCTAAAGAGATACGATCTCCAAGGAGAAGAACAAAAGACACAGCCTTCAAGAGCTGGGGGAGAAGAGGCGGTAGGACGGGAGATACTGCTGGAAATCAGAAAAGGAAATCTTAAGTGAAATCTGTGACTCTGACGTGACAATTCCAAGCCTAGAACGGTTCCCTAACACTCTGAAGTTCAATTATTTAAGAACAGAGCACAGTAGTTCCTAAACAAAATGCATTTTGAAGAGTTTTAACCTAAAAAAGTAACTTGGGTACCCCCACTGTACACATAAGAAAGGTTTCTGAAAGTTAATGTCACTGACTCCTCCCACATGCTCTGTGGGGATGCAGAGTGACAGGCTGAGTCCCTGCTTTCTAGAAGCCCAAGGTCCATGGAAATGACATCAGAAAGTAACTACAACGATGTGGGGAGGGCTGCAGAAGAAAGGAGGCTGCTCAGAAGCGTGGCGTCTGACACCCAGCACAGACGCGGCCACCACGTGGTCAGAGGTGACCCCCAGGCCTTCTCACCAAAGACCACCCAGGGGCACTGTTACAGAAGCCGCAGGGCTGGGGCCCAGCAACAGGGAGGGGAAGTGGTGGGCGGAGGAGCATGGCTTAGCTGAGAATCCTCAGGAGGCACCTGCCAGGGTGGTACCTGGGTGGGGCTCATGGGGTTCCTGCGACATGTGCTGCCTGTCCACCCACGCAGCCCGCCATCCTCACACAATCGCGGTAGCTAATTTCAAATCAGCTTTAGCAGTGGAACTTTTTTTTTTTTAACATGAATATCCATTGAGAATCCTAACATATAACACGGATAAGAGGCATTCAGTCGATCTTTTGCAAGGTTTCTCTCGCCACCTCCACATGACTGACACTTGGGGCTGGGTCACTCTTTTGGCAGGAGGCTGTCCCGTGCATTGAGTGTTTCAGAGCATCCCTGGCCTCTAGCCACCGTATGCTATGAGCATCTCTGGTCCTCCCCCTCTCTCCCAGTTGTGACAACCAAAAATATCTCCAGACCTTGCCAACCATCCACTGGGGGACAAAACTGCCCCCGACTTTACCCATTGGGATAAAGTCACTGTATGTATTAAAGTCCCAAGACTGCTGTATTTTGAAAGGATTTCGGATAATTAAACAATGCAAAAACTGAAAATCAAAGACTGTGGGTTAAAATGGATGGATGATCCCTGAGCTTCGGTTTCTAATCTTTTTCTAGGTTTGGGTTGCATAATCTCGAGAAATCTTGATTCACCAAGATACGTGGCTGCATTCTCACCTGTACAATGGGACAGGAACCAACAGGCAGGCACAGGCTGCATTCACACACCCCTCTGCAGGGTTCACAGGTGCACATGGCGGGGAGGCAGGGGAAGGACAGCTTTTGCTCCTGGATCCACACAACTCGAGCAAATCACTTTGAACATCTCATGCCACTCCCATCAGCAAAGGGTGCAGACCTCCACTACAGGGTACCTTCCTGTTTTCACTGGGTAGGCAGTGTCTCATTTCTATTTTAGGAATATGAAGTTTCACATACGATGTCAAAACCACAACAAACGTGCTGTTGAGACCATGTCGGCTATCTCCCCGTATCTTCTATTATTTGTTTAGTTTGAACGAGCAACACTTCCACCCCC